GTTGGGAAAGATGGAAGGCCAAAAGGAGAAGGAGATGGCAGAGGATGAGATGGTTAGATAATGTCATTGACGCAATGAACATGAATTTGGGCAAACTCAGGGAGACAGGAGAGGACAGGGGAGGGCCTGGCATGCTATGGTCCAGAGAGTTGTGAACAGTCAAAATAGTAGTTGGATTGGGTTGCCTTTAAATCCAATTTCAACTCTGGTTCTGCAATGCAGCAATATTCTAAACGAATGATGGTTACACAATACAAGTTGAGTCACAGTCTTAATAAAGGTGGATGTAGGAAGGTGTAGAAAACATGTGTACAGTTGAAACTTCGAACATCCTTAGGTATTCATAAAGCGATGCTTTACATTGTAACTCTGAAATGAAATGGATCATCCTGGCACTTGCAAGACGAAGTGGCAATATGCAGGGTTTAATCCAACATTTGTGGTATCACATCTTTTTGGGAGTTAATAAATACAAGCAGTGGGAAAGATACAATGGCCCACCCACCCTTCAACCCATAAAGAATTCCCTTGCTTTTCACCTCCCGCAATGGTATATTTAAGAATTGTTGGAAGTTAAAACCCACCCCTCTCCTAAAAAATGAAATATTCTAAGATATATTAAAAGGGCAGAATATTTCCCCTAAAAGAGAAGTAGAAACTCAGAGAGGCAGAAAGTCAGCCCTCCCACCTTTGTCAATGGGCCATTAAGGCCTAGGCCACTCTATTCTACATAACAAAGATCTACCTCCTTCAGGCAGAGCCATTGAATTGCCCTTCATTGCACCAACCACCAAATTTAAACCAAACTTAGCACACAGACAGCCCGCAAAGCTAGCTATGACCTCTGACAGCAACCAATCAGGATACTCTTTCTGTTCAAAGCCCAGAGAGGGCATAACACCCAGGCACTCTCAGCATCTCTTCTTCCCTTTTGTTCGCCCAAGATCTCCAAGATCCTGTTCATCAATAAACCTTTTTTCCAAGCAACTTCCACGATTCCAGTGTCTTTCCCCCCACTTGGAACTGAACCCAGAAGACATTTCTTCCAACAGAATGATGAAATCTTGCATTTTCAAAGAGGAAATGTGAGCTTTGTTAACATCTCTAGCTCCTTCACAGAGAATTGAAAACAAAACAACACAAAGCACAATTAGAAATTCCTAATTGTTGCTCTGCTGAGACTAACATTCCTCCTCTAACTCCAAGGCACTCTTAAAACAGCAGCCAAAAACTAGTACATGTTTTATCTGTTATTTCCTTTTTGTTAATGAGAATATTCAAGTGAAATTGGTTTCAGTGTGCAGGTTATTACTGCTTCTTGAATACACACGCACTCATGCAAACATTCAAACTCTGGGAAATACAAGTCATAGTTTTGTTTAGCTGGAAAGATGAATATCAATATAGTGAGACCGGCTTGAATTTGTTCCCACCTCTTCACACTCCAGTTAGAAAACTATAACATATTATGTACTGTATCAAAGCAAAGCAATAAAGAAATCAAGTGTGGAGACCCATAAAAGTACAATTAAACAATAGACCGCTTTGAAGCAACCTTGGTTATGAGTACAGAGAGGTTCTAAGCATCCCTTTCTCCCTTCATTGTACTGTTCATGCAACCCAGTGCTTTGTCTTCTGGCCACGGAGCAGATTAAAAAAGTAAAGATATTGAAGATAAAGAAGTGAACTAAAAAAAATTCCTAACATATCAACATAAACTCACTGTTTACAAAGTACTTTTCACTCTTAGGATTGTCGCAGCATCCCCAAGGTCACACAATCAAAATTCAGATGCTTGGCAACTGACACGTATTTATGATGGAGAAGGAGAAGAAGAAGAGAGAGAGAACGAGGAGAGGAGACGAAGAAGGAAGAGGAGAGGAGAGAGGAGAGTCCTAAGGTCTCACCTTCTGACAAGCAAAGTCAATGGGGAAGCCAGTTTCAATTTACCACTGTGCTACTAACTGAACAACTGCCACGATTCACTTAACAACTGTGGCCAGAAAGGTCATAAAATGGGACAAAAAGCCACCTAATAGCTGTCTTGCTTACCCACGGAAATGTTGGCTCCCTTGTGGCCGTAAGTCAAGGACTACCTGTACAGAAGGATATTCAGGGACATTTAGGTTCCTGAATCTTCTTACTTAAGTTTTGCATGTCTGTGAAAAACCGAAGGAATACTATTAGTGACGGCCTCTACCTCAGATCTGTTAATATCTTTTAAAAAAAGAAAAAAAGCCAAGGTGAGCAACAGGCAGCAGAATAGGTATCCTGGTATCCTGCATCAACCACACCTTCTGTTGTGTTGCACAGGGTGAATCTTAGACAAATAGATTTGTAGGATAAGATCCCTGATCAATTTTAAGTTGTCGGTAAGATATATAAGTGAGAAGTTAAGTCCCTTAGGCTGAGCGATGGCCTTTACACTTTTTCTTCTAGGAAGTGAAGATAATTAATGAAGGGATATAACCACATTGGCATTTGACAGCGGGGAGAAAAACATCAAAAGTCCTCCCAATAATAATTACCAATATATTTTTTTTGGAGGTGACGGGCATTTATCTGATAAGTATAAAAGAAAGTGCTGAAAACAAAGGATTGGGCACAAGAAAAAAATGGCTACAATAGGAGATGATTTAAAGTCGATGCTATGACCTGTGGCTTTCATGTGTTGGACTAGTGAGGAAGTGTGTTCCAGCATTTTTACTGCATTTTTGTGTTCATCCAGGCGGGTACTTATTCTTCTATTGGTCTGTCCAATGTATGTGGCCGGGCATGATGCACAGGGGACTTCGTATATGCCTTGGTTTTCCAGGTCAATTTTATCTTTGGGGTTTCTTAGGATGGCTGCTATTTTTCTGTCTGTTTTGAAGGCAGTCTTGATGTGACGCCTGTGTAGTATCTTACTGATTTTGTCTGTAGTACCTCTTATGTAGGGCAGGACAGCTGTTCCATAGGTCTGTTCATCTTCTAGGTCTCCATTATGTCTCAGTATGTTTTTGTGGATCAAGCCGGTGATTTTGCTTTTGTGGAAGCCGTTAGCTGTCAGTACTTTAGTCAGGGTGCATAGCTCAGTCTTTATGTGTGTCTTGTCTGCTAGGCATTTGGCTCTGGCAATTAGTGTTTTGGCCACGGAGTTTATCTGTGCTGGGTGGTGGTGGGATTGAGCGTTGAGGTAGTGGTTGGTGTGTGTTTTCTTCTGGTATATAGTGTGTCCTAGTGTGCCATCTGTTTTTTTGTAGATTAGTACATCTAGGAATGTTAGTTATTTGTTTGTTTCTGTTTCCATGGTGAATTTGATTTTGGGGTGTGTGCTGTTTAAGTGTGTTCAGAAATTGTTTAGGTTTTCTTTTCCATGGGGCCAAATAACAAATGTGTAAAATGTGTAAATGTGTTAAAAGCACAACTATAATGACGTGGGAAAATACCCAAACAAAGCTGAATACCATACTTATAAATATCCATGAAAAGTAGGAAGATTCTCGGCAGTGAAATATTAAATCACACACAACAGCTTATTGCCTCCAGTTTTCAGCATTCTGGAAATTTTAGTCTCAATATATCTAGTGATTTATCAGATTGAGGGAAACTATTCCACCTAATCAAGAATTCCATAAAATATAAGCTTATAATTTTATTTATTTATCAAATTTATATGTCTGCCCATCTCATAAGCAGTGATTCTGAGAGATGTACAACACTAATAATTCTTTAAAGAAAACCTGTCATGCCCCTGGTGGAGGCTGATTGAGGAAGAGGAGGAACAGCCGACAGGGAGTGGAAGTGTGGCTCCGGAGGTTGTGGAGGAGGCTGGGGAAGGGCAGAGGCTGGCTGAGCAATCAGAGGAGGACCCAGGCCCATCCCCTCTCCATCCTAGGGCATGCAGGGAGGAGAGGATAAGGGAGAGATGTGGTCTACTCGGGAGGAGAGGGCCTTGATCCTCTTCATGGGCTGCAGTTGTGATAACTGAATAAGAGTTTGGACCTGCATACTGGCGAACGCTGGAAACAAAGCGTGTTTTATTTTGGTCTGAGGTTATCTTGGTTGGCGTCCTTCCAACAGACTGCCTTGTTATCTCCTTGAATTTGGTAAATACTTCTCCTGTTCCATTGTGGAAATGTTGTCATTGTAGTTTGTTTGTTTTTTTATTTCACCTCTATCTGCTCATTAAGTTCAGACTGTATTGCTTTCTTTTGAAGACTATTTTTGAGTATGTTTTATCTCCAACTGAGTATTATTAAACAGTGGGGCCAAGCTGGAGGCATTAAAGGACATTTATTTACATTCTGGATTTTGTTAAGTTTGTATCCCACCCTGGGTCATGACAAAACCCCAGTTTTTACCAGATATTTCTGAAACAGTTTTGAAGGTGTAATGGAGGCCCAAATCTCACATTCATTATTAGTACTGTATATTGAATAATTATGAATACATCTGAAAGATTTGGAGATATTTATACCTGAGAATGAATTTGAATTAGACGTTTCAAGACCAAATCCCCTTTTATTATAAATTCCCACAGTCGTAAGTTTTTAATACAGTCTTCCCCAACCAGGTGTCTTACAGATGTGTGCGGATCACAACTCCCAGAATGTCCAGTCAATGTGGCCATGCTGGATTGAATTTGTACTTGTACTCTTAATACAAATGTGTGCGGAGTTATAGTCAAAGAAACATGGCAGACTGTAGGGGTGGTATCAGCCCTGGATCCATCTTGTTTCAGATTTAGGGCTGTCACAGTGGAGGATGGGCAAGCTGTGGGTATGGGAGAGTAGTGAGAAGGGAGGCTAGCCACAAACAACGTTCTTTCACCAGAGATCAAGGACAAGTTGCTGGAGTTTGGAGATGGGCCTACATGACTTCTCTAATAAATGCTTACTTCAATGGACTTTGTCTTGGAGTGCTGAATGGGAATGGGGAGTTTGGTTAGGTTACTTTGAAAAATGCATTCTTTGAGCCCTGAAAGAGAAGTCTATAAAAAGATACATTTGTGGCCTTACCTGTCAAACAGTGGCTTCTCTCCACAATCAAAGGCATCCTGTAACTCTTTGACGAGGTTAGCCTGGCCCGGCAATCGGAAAAGTCCTTCCTCCTTCAACCCCCGCAGACGAATAAAATCCACACACTGTTCTACCAGCAACGGAGCCAAATGGTTTCCATATCGTTTCTCATAGCGAACGGTGTCTTCCAGCTTCTGCCCAAATATTCCTGTGTATGACAAGAGTAGCTGTAAATACTCAAGGTGAACTCTGTACGGTAAATATGTCTTTCGTTGAACCATTTTACGTGGGTCTTGGGAAATCCTGACACTAAAACTACATCATCTATAATGATGTCAGGTGCAAGAAGTCAGGAACCAGAATAGAATGGTGCAAAAGTACTACCAGTTTATGTCACTACATGGCATCAGAAGAAAGAGCCAACAAAATGTACAAAATGTACATAAATATAAGAAGTCTGGTAGACCACAACATGAAACTGATCTCCCACCAATAAGGAAAAACTTACTGTAGCTCCAGCTTCCCTTAAATGTTGCCATCTGGTGGGATCACAGACACACCCACACCCACACACCCACAAAGACAAACACACACACAAAGAGGACATTCAGAGGATCTCCATACTACTAGCCTTCCGGTGGGCTGTAAAAACCGACTCTTTGCCTAGCATTTGGTCTACGATAAAAGGGTGCCCCCAAAATGTAGGACTATGTAGAGCTTATGGGAAGTTGAGATCCTGTGGTTATGTTATCTATACACAAAAATCTGAACTACGAATGGTCAAGGCGAATTGTTGCCAGATAAGAGTCAACAGACTTCAAAGGAGGCTGCATTTAGGAACCTTATGGGGGTGCAGAGACTCCAAACTGATGATGCTTTTGACCCTGCCCCCTCAGGCTCATCCTGGTCTTCTCTACAAATTTTTAAATAATTTAAGAGTAGCCCTTCCCAGCTCCTCCATACTAGACAGCCACAGACATATCAATATACATACAGGTAGCCCTCAACTTGAAAAAGAAGACTTACAATCTGGATTCAAAGTTCCTATGATTCTTCCCTCCATGATCACATGACCACACTTTTGGCTTATGGCAACATGACGGCATTTAGAGCCATTTGTAGCATTCCATGGTCATGTGACAGACTTTTACAATGGTTTTTCCTGAAACTGGCACTTATTTCTGATTTTTGGCAAATCCTCCCCATAAAGAATAATGGGTTTGCTTAACAACCATGGCATTTGTTTTACAACTTCCAGGTTTGTTTAATGACTGCTACAAAAAAAGTCATAAACTTGGATTGGTTATGTGACCAATTCGTTTTACGACTGTTATGACATGACCATAATGGGCAGACTCCATTATGGTCATAACTTGAGGATTATTTATATTTTTTTCAAGGTTCTGTGCCTGGCATGTAAGCATTACAAGATTCACTGAGCAGAAGGAAATTCTATTTTTAAAAAAGAAAAAAAAAAACAGATCTCTCAGCATAAAGTGAGTGCAAGGATGAAAAAAAAGGAAGCTGAGATCATTTATCTTCAGTCCCAGATGAAATTCTACAACTTCCAGAGAAACAGAAAAGGAAAGTAGATAAAACTGAATTGGGAGGAACATCTAATTCATAATTCTGTTGTTTAGAAATAGAGAAATGTTAAGAAGTGCTACATTTCAAATGTGTTTTGTATGTTGCAATGATTTTGATGTTTATAATTAAAGCGCATGCATTTTCTGTCAGTTTGAAACAAACCTTCAAGGAATCTGTATTATTGATCTTAAAAAAATATTTATAAACTCATATGGCCACCTATCTTTTACAGAATAATCTTAGCCAGCTCACAATAATATTCAATAAAAACGGAGTAAATTCAGCTAACCAAACCTCGTGACAAGCACCTAATCACAGGACCTCAACCTCTCATAAGCTCTACCTGCTCCTACATTTTGAGGGCTCACTTCTGCCCTAGACCAAATCCCAGGAAAAGGGTCAGCTTCTACAGCCCACCAGAAGGCCAATAATATGTGTTTGTGTGTGTGTGTGTGAGAGAGATCCAGTGGTGGGATTCAATTTTTTTTTTTACTACCAGTTCTGTGGGCTTGGGTTGGTGGGCATGGCAGGGGAAGGATACTGTAAAATCTCCAGTCACAGGTGGTATTTGCCGGTTCTCCGAATTACTCAAAAATTCGGCTACTGGTTCTCCAGAACTGTTCAGAACCTGCTGCATACTATCTCTGGTGAGATCCCATTAGATGTCAACGTTTAAGGGAAGGCACTTTGAACTACAGTAAATTTCCCCTTATTGGTGGGAGATCAGCTTCATGTTATGGTTTATCAGATTTCCTTTATTTATGTATATAGTTATGTCCATTCTGTTGACCTATTCCTCTTACACCATGCAGATTGGAACAGCTCTGTATTTTATATTTCACATTAGTTGTTTCCAGTACAGGGGTATAGATGGCTCACTTGCACATGTGTTTCCAAAAAGGACTTCCAGAAGCCACAGTGCACACAGAAAAAACAAGACCATGATAAAACAAACAAACAACAGAATTTAACGTGATACCTTCCTTTATAAAGAAATATTTCTTCTCCATGCTTCACCTTTTTTTTCCCTTAGTGTGATAAACAGAAAGAGACAAACACAAATGCTTCTGCATATACTCTACCTCTCCTTCAAGCAGAAAGAGCAAGAGAGAGAGAGAGTTGGGGAGAGGGAGAGGGAGACAGAGAGAAGCAAGAAATCAAGAAAGAATGAGAGAAGGAAGGAAGGAAGGCTAAGAATGGACGCAAGAAATCAAGAGAGAATGAGGGAAGGAAGGAAGGAAGGAAAGAAAGAAATAGAGAAAGAGAGAGAGAGAGAGAAATAAAGCAAAAAACCAATGGAGGATAAGAGGAAGGAAGGAAGGAAAGAAAGAAAGGAGAGAGAAAGAAGAAAGAAAGAAAGAAAGAAAGAAAGAAAGAAAGAAAGAAAGAAAGAAAGAAAGAAAGAAAGAAAGAAAGAAAGAAAGAAAGAAAGAACAGGCCAGAAATGCGGTCATTATTATTAAATAGAGTTGAAATCTCCACATCTTGTTGGGTAAAAACAATATAATCCATCATTTTAGAACTGTCTGTGTGATAAGGGAATGTCAAGCCATTTTTCTATATTGTTTGGGAGAAGTTTCTCATCAAAAACTGAAATTCTCTGAATGTTGCATGCAAACAAAAGGGGGCAGAAAAAAATGAAGTATCTGCAAAAGCAAAACAGAACAAAACAAACACGAGCAAAAACCTTAGCAATGTCATTATCTTTGCCCCGTGTTAGGAAATTGTTTCTTAAGGTGTTTTTGCCTAAATAGTCTGAAAGACCTGAGACCTAGGCACGTCCATTGATTGTTTTATTCCTCTGCCACCCAAGCGAACCTCCATCTGTGCCTAGTTCTACTAGTTTCCTATGGAAGGGTGTCCTTCTCTTTTCCCATCATGTTTCTATTATCAACCAACATTGTTTGCATTGTATTTTAGCTGCACTTTCTTTTATCTTTCTGGCAAGGGCTCAAGGACAATCAGCTTCTGTTTGAAAGGCAGACACTGGCTCTTTAGCCATGTTAGTCATAATGATGACATAGAAGAAGACCTCTCTATTTGTTTATACGTTGTGATCCTCCAGACCCATTCATCCACGCGCCTTCCATAAACTGTACAGGCCCATTGTTTGATGTTTCAAAACTGCAACAATGCTTGAATAATACTTTGATTACATAATTTTTTTTTTTTCAGAAGGAAGCAGTTTTACAGGTGGTGGAAATTGAACAGAAGCGGGCTTTGTTTAAACATTAGCAGAAATGAATGCTGTGCTGAAGTCTGATGTGCAGCTTCTCCAAGGTTTCCTCCCCCAATTCCTAGAAAAAAAAATATTCTCATAATTCAGCAATTCCTTTTGACACGCCCCTCCATTTTAAGCCTCCACAGCTATCTGTACCATCAAACTGCAAAGTCTCAAAGGCTGAATTCTTATGACAGTCCTGGGCTTGGGTTGAAATATGGGAAGTCAGAGACCTGCAGGAATGGAGGCATAATGAAGGTACAATGCAAAACAGGACGTTTACACATAACATTTGGTCAACAAGAAAGTAAAGCAATGCAAGAAGCTATTAGTCCATGCATATTCTAACAGCAGAGCTGTTTCACAACGAAGAGAATGCTTGGGAGACCACTGAGTTTGCTATTAATAAAGATGTTTAATTAAGCACTCATTTCTCAGAGAAGCTATATCTCATCTTAAGAATATGCTTAGGGTTAGGGTATTGAAGTATCTTGAATGTTATATCAGTATATGGGGTGGATGAATTTATGAAACTCAGAAAGTTGAATGAATGAACAGTTCTTTCATAAGTATTTTTCATGATGAAAATGTTATAGCTGTGTAGAAAACACCTTCTTAGCATTTTCCTCCTCTTTTCTATTTCCTTTGGCTACTGCTTTGACACCCCCTTTTAAAACATGGACCAAACTCTGCCAAATGATTCCATTTAATATGATTTTGCAAAGCAGTGACACGAGAGCTTATGCACTGAAGACAAATTCCTTGTGTGCCCAATCACACTTGGCCAATAAAGAATTCTCTTCTCTTCTCTTCTCTTCTCTTCTCTTCTCTTCTCTTCTCTTCTCTTCTCTTCTCTTCTCTTCTCTTCTCCTCTCTTCTCTTCTCTTCTCTTCTATCTGTTCTGTTCTGTTCTGTTCTGTTCTAATTCTATTCTATTCTTTCTGTTCTGTTCTAATTCTATTCTGTTCTGTTCTCTTCTACTCCACTCCACTCCACCCCACTCCATTCTATTCTTTCTGTCCTATGCTATCCTATCCTATCCTATCCTATCCTATCCTATCCTATCCTATCCTATCCTA